TTAATAGAATTTTGACCAAGTTGTCAAAATTTTTCCCGGAAATTGTGTCGACGGGGGGAGGATAAAAAAAAATTTTCCGGACTAATATAAGCATATTTAAAAATTTTTCAACCAAAATAAGGGTAAAAAATTTTAGTTTCCAGACTAATGTATATAAGCATATTTGAAAATGTTTCAACCAAAATAAGCAAGGCTTGCAAATTTTCACCACAATTTATCGACTTTGATCTTAAATTTTAAGCGAATATCAGTTCCATTTTGACCAACTTTGAGCAAATACCAGTTCCATTTTGACCAACTTTGACCAACATTTCAATTATTGGGGGGGGGGGGGTTACCCCCCACACCCCCCAGTAGCAACTTCCCTGCAGCTGTCTGGGTTCTGTACCACATGACTAGTTCAAATTGTTCCGAGCGTGAGGAATCTTATGACATCATAAGGCGTAAAAAAAATACCTGTGGTTCCGGTTTCATATCATGAAAAAATTAGGGTCGGTAGGTCGGAAATAAATTTTTTAAAATATTTTTTCATGGTTTTGGCGGTTTTATGCTGGGCGATTTGCAGTAGAGTCCCAACATCAATATTAACTAGAGATGCGTATTTCCTATGGACGAATTTAGGCGGCATCAACAAAACCCGGATCGGAACGGATCGGAACAGATTGACAAAACCTGGATCGGAACGGATTGACAAAACCCGGATCGGAACGGATTGACAAAACCCGGATCGGAACGGATTGACAAAACCCGGATCGGAACGGATTGACAAAACCCGGATCGGAACGGATTGACAAAAATTTGAAATGACTTGTGTAAGTGTGGTTGCATATAAAATATTAAAGATGAGACAATTAAAACGCAAAACAAAGCTAGTCATTTATCAAACGATTGTCTGAATTTATTGCGATTGCATGGGATATTTCATCCCGTTTGACAGGGCTGAAAATCTCATCCCGGGTGACATAAACTGCGATGAAAATTTCAACCCGGGCTGAAATTTAGCCCGGGTTGAATTTTTTTCCATGTAATCGTAAAATTCATTTTCTATTACCTCCCGTGTAATCGGCCCTATCTGGGACAAACAGCACACATGTTAAATTGAGTTGATATTCTTTACTTGGTACTGTACTGTAATTTTGTACCTGTAGTTTAATAAATCTCTTTCAAACACTCATTAATAATTCATAAGCTTATTGGCAAATCATGTCAACCATAATATGTCACGTGCAGTGGCTTTAAACCTGATAAAACACTCCTAATTAGTATTCCTTATATAAAGAATACTAATAAGGCAGTATCTATTGTTGTCGTGTTCTCATTAGTATTTTTTATATAAAGAATACTAATAAGGCGGTATATCTATTGAA